CAGTCGGGCTTGCAGGCGCGCGCCGCGGCTGGCCGGGAGCGCTGGTCCGCAGCGGGAGCAGGTACACCTCTCTAATCAAATCCCTTTTCCTTCAGTCCTAGCCGGATGCAGCTGCACGAGACGACAGACTGGCGTGGAGCGTACGGCCCCCGTGCTGCGTGCCTACAGCTCGTCAGCTGGGCTGTGGGCAAGGGGAGCCTCCTCCTGAACCCCGCTCTCCTCCGGGGTCTCCTCCGTTCCTGGGAGGCTGTTGCCATCCTCACTCTGCTCCTTCCTGGCTTTCTTCTTCTTCTTCCCACTCTTTTTCTTGCTCTGTTTCTCCCCCACGCTCGCCAGGTCACCCTTCTTGCCGGTCCACTTCTCTGCCAGGCAGCCTGGGGAAGAGAGGGGCAGAGGGTGCCTGGAGGGAGCTGCTGGGCTGCCCGGCCCTGGCGGGGCTCCCCCCGCAGCACGCACGGCCCACGCTGACAGCACCGTCCCACTTACTCGCATCCTTCCCTTTTAGCACGTGGTCAGCGCAGAGGAACTGGGAGAGGTCTTCCTGCTGGTGGTGCCTGTACCAGTCCTCTATCACCTCTTCGTACTCCTCCACCAGCACATCGCACTAGCGGAGAAAGGAGAGCCCAGCTCCAGGACGCGCGGCCGGGCCCTGCGCCCGACTCCCGGGACGCACGCCAGGTCCTGCCCGAACCCAAGGCCGGTGACCCCTGCTCCATCCAGCCTGCAAGCCCGCACCAGCCGTCAAAGGCCAATCCCCCCGGGTGCAGTACCTGCTTTTTGAGGTCGGCCACCTCCGCAGAGGTCTCGTTCCACAGCTCATAGGGAATGTCCATCACCACTTTGACCCCCTTGTGCACCAGGTTGTGCAGAGTCTCAAACGTCTCCGACATGCCCTGGAAGAGAAGAGTAGCCCCCCATGAAGCAACGCTTCCCCCCACCCAGCTCCTGTTCTCCCCTCCCAGACAGCGGCCGCACGGCGCTGCCCAGGGATTCGGACCTGCACGGGGCAGCTGCCATCAGGGGCCCCGCGCTATCAGTGTCACCAGGACACAGAGTTTAACTGGCAGCGAGTCCCTCTCTGCAGTGATCCCCTGATCGCAAACAACGTTGGAAAACACAGGCCAGGCACCACGGCGCCTAGAGGTTCAGCAAGTTCCCTCCGGAGCAAGCGAGGACTCGGGTCTGCCCCATCGCCCCTCAACTGATCTCGGCGCCAGCATGCCGTTAGCTCTCGGGGAACGCAGATGAGGGGAAGAAACAAGGACCCAAGGGTCAGTGCCCGCAGGGACAGCTGTGAGGGACGCTCTCGGAGGCAGGTGACGGGAGGACAACCCTCACCTTTGCAAACCTGTTACTGCCACTCCTCTCCTTGTGCAGGTTGTAGTCCAGAAGCCTCTTACATATGTTCTCCGTCACCTCAATTAACCGGATGTCCCTGCACAGAGAAAACGGGAGGAAAAGGGCTTGGTGCTGCTCCACAAGCCCAGCTGCAGCACCACGCCAGGCCTCAGACCGGGCAGCGCGTGACAGAGGGATGTTCCCCGCTCCGGGGACTGGGCGCAGCGGTGGTGACAGGAGACCCCCCCCGGCTTTTGCTCGCCCACAGCCGAGTCACTTACGACTGTGTGTACTTGACAGCCGAGCCCTTCCCGTCCAAGAAGCCGTACTTTGTGTCGATTACTTCCTTTGTCTTGCTGGTCTCCTCAAAAGCAGATTTCAGCTCCAGCGCCACGTACTTGCACACTGCGGGACAGAAAGCAGAGGTGGCTCAGCAGGCTTGAACGCTCTCGGGCAGACCGCTCCCGCTGCAGGCCGCCTGATGTAGCTCCCAGCCAACAGGACTGCTTTAGAAGCAAGCAGCAGGACTCGGGCTCGCGAGAGCTGTCACGAGCAGGAGGGAGACGCCTTTGCTACTGTTCAGGAGAAATAAATAAGCAGCAGCACCTCCAACGATTCCAAGAGAGACCCCTCGAGGCAGGAAGGCCTGAATCAACGCTTCAGTATAAGCTCATCCAAACAGCCAGCTGTTATGTCACACGTGGGAAGGGAGACAACAGCTCCTCATAACTGCACCTGCAGGTGCCCCTAGACAGCTCCGCTTTCCAGCTGTGAAGAGCCTTATCCCTTCCTCCTGGCAAAGGATGAGCCTTGTTGCAAGGCCAGCGACAGCTCGCAGGGATTCACACCTTGTGCTCGCAACACCAACGCAGCACACCCGATAACAGCCGTCCCGGCGCCCGGGGGAGGCGGGGAGCCGGGGCCGGGATTCGAGCAGTGGGCTCTGCCCCGGGGTGCCCGCGTGCAGCTGGTGAGTGGGACCAGAGGGGCTCGCAGGGTCAGCAGGCAGGGCCGCAGGACAAGGCAGCGGCTGCGAACTGCATTGCCGTAGCTGGGGCCGTCAGCCCCAGCAGAGCTGGGCCAGGCGCTGTATGTAGTACTATGGCACCGCTAACTTTATAACGGTTCATATTTTCCTTTATAAAACAGGGAAAAAAGCTTTATTTCTGCTATAACAAACAGTCCAACAGAGCTGCAGGAACCAACAGAGGGAGAGGAAGAGAGAAGCATCTCCGGGCTTTACAAGTTAAAGCATGGAGAGACGGAAGCTGGGCGCTCTGTGGCCCTTCCTCCCCTGCGAGGCCAGGGTCCCAGGAGGCTCTAGAGGGCCTTGCCCCACGCTGCAGGCTCCCGTTTGCCACAATCCGCTTTTTCCTCGAGCTCTGCTTTGGGAGAAAGGCCAAGCGTCCAGCAGGAACGGTCCGACAGCGATGAGCCACCATGGCTTCTCCCAGGCACGCGCAGAGGCCGACGGAGGGAGAGATGCCGCAGGCAGGAGGGCAGCAAGGGGTTGCTCCAGCGCGGCAGCACACGTGCCTGCCTGCAAGCGTCAGCCGTGACTCTCTGCCTGCACCAAGGGCTGGGCGCTCCTCCCGCAGCCTCCCTTCCCGCGCGACATCTGCCTGCTGCAGAGCCTCCACGCCTGCCAGGAGCACTCGCTGCCAGGTCCAGTTATCTAGAGGCCGGCCACCC